ATATATATATATGTGTATGTATGTATGTATATATATATATATATACACATACACACTGTATATAGCGAGAGAGAAAGAGAGCAAAAAAATTTGGTGTTAGTTTACAAACCCTTTTCTCAGCCTCAGAATCGGCTAGTTTTCTCATTAGCATCTCCCTCTCATCAGACAACCTCAGTGCATCTGTCTGTGGTGAAAAGGACAGACAAAACAAACTTTTTTTTTTTGTTTACAATAAAAGTGCATATACACAATACTGCAGAACCAACAGCCAACCCAAATATGACACAAATTTAGTTTAACAGAAGTTTTTTTTGTACCTCCCGTCCATGCTGTTCCCTCAAAAGCCGTCTGAGAGTGCGATTTGTCTCCACAAACGTGTCTAACTTTTGCTCTAGTAGCTCATGTTGACGACCCAACTGATCAGAGTGTGTCTTTGACTGTTTTTTGTCCTGAATACACAAAGCTTTTTTTTTTCAAGAGAAAGGATTTCAGAGGTAATTGCAAAGTTTGGAGTTTGGCAACCTTCTTACCTTCTTAAGTTTGCCTACGGTTTCCCTCAGAGCTGTCACTTGTTTGGCTACAGCCTGGCCGTCTATCTCAGCTTCCACCAGTTTCCTCAGCAAAGTTTCTATCTCCTGATATGGAGGTCCTATTTCTGATCTGCCCACATAAATCATACATTTTAAGCATTTAGGCCACAACCAAAAAAAAACTAATGTGTCAAATAAATCTGAAAGAACTATACCTCTTATGTCCAGACTCAGCCTGCGTCCCATCTACAGTGCTACGTAGATCAGCATTCTCACGCTTTGACCTCCTCAAGTCCTTACTGGCTTCTTCGAGTCTTTCCTCATGCTGATCAATCAAATGCCGACAGGCACTCGACTGCTGTGACTGGTGCTTTAAGTGGTCCTCTGTCTGCCGTAACCTTACCTGTGAAGATTTTAACATTCAAATCCACAATGTTGTTCGACGTGAATCCATCGTATAGTCATGATTATTTACAATCCATACCTCACTTTTTATACAGTCAACCTCTGACATTAGACTTTCAATTTTTCTCTCATATTTGCCAAGTACGCCTCTCGCATCGTCCTCTTCACTGGACAGGTCAGTGAGCCGCAGAGGAGGAGAGGAAGGGGTGATCTCCAAGCAACGAGTAGCCCCCTGATGGGAATTTTTGTTATTACAGTACAGTCATTCATAGTCACAATTAAAATAAATGACTCATTATAAATTACTTGTGCTCGTTAATAGGGGAGAATAGGAGTAAACAAACCTCCCATTTGTATTCTCTTCGTCTTGATGCCTTTCCAGGAGGAACCCAGGGAGCTCGGACCTTTACACTAGCAGTTGATCGTAAATTGCTCACTTTACCCTGCTGAACATAAGCGTTGTGATGGGTGATTTCACGGTCTCAGTACATCAAACGAGGTTGTTTTAAAGGGATAATTCACCTTCAGTTGCTGGTCCCCATCAAAGTGTTTTTTTTTCTCTCCATACTATGTAAGTCAATGGGGACCAGCAACTGAAGGTGAACTATCCGTTTAAATTGGAATGGCAAATGGCATATATTCTGACCTGGCTTTCCTGTGGACTCTTCTTTAGGTGGACATGCACAGATGTTGAGTCTGAGACATGAACATGGACGGGTGGAGAAGACGACCGTGTTTTCATCCCTTTGATTCAGTTGGGCGACCTTTATTTGTCTTAAGAATATGAAAAAGTTCACAAGAAGTGTATCATAAAAGTGAAAGAAAAATAAAACAGAAGTGTTATTAATCATACATGTAACGTTAGCTTATATCTTTTAAACAAAAAGACTATTTGTCCTCACTCAAGTCTGTGTTTGTTTTACTAATCCTTTTCTGTTTATTCACAGCATATTTATACGGTCAGTTAAATAATCCTGATCGATGAAAATGTATGTACTTTAAACGATTAATGTGATAGGAATAAAAATACCACTAACCTTAATACAAATATGCAACGTCGCGTCCCCTGTGTAATGTTGTTTGCAAAAACCGGTAGACTTTCGCATGGACAATAGCCGCCAATCGGAGACGCGTCTGACGCACTAAGTCCCGCCTTCAACGTTCTGATTTGAATCTGATTGGCTGGTTCGAAACTTAAGCGACAAAGAATTGAGAAGTGTGTTTAACGCCCAGTAAACTTGAACTGGAGCTTATTGGGTTTCTATGCCGCCAACGACGCGTTACTATGTACCGGCACCTCAGTTTTTAGCCTGTTCATGAAATTTTCTGATAACTTGCCATTTTATACAGTCTGATGTGGTGCCATTAGAATGAACAGTGTGTATTTTAATTTGTAGGAGTGTCTTACCTGACATGCGTTAGCTTCATTTCGAAAAATGCATGACAGACTAACCATCTGACAACCATCTGCTTGAGATTTTTAATTTATTTCATTGACAAATATTTATCACTTTTGTCATCAAAAAGATGATGCATAGGCAAAAGTTCTTGGTTAACTGGACGCTCCAAATGTCCAAAGCAACTTTCACATAACCATTACTCAGTAAGATCACATTTTAAGTTAAACCCCTTGAGAACCCAAGGACAAAACACATTAATATGAACATTCAGTAAACCACAGCTTCAAACCTCAGATTGGACATTTATGAACAGAGAACAGTAAGCCAAACTGAGGTAGACGTAAGCATCTACATGATCTATCAGGGCTGAGCTCATCTGCTTAGGTAACCTGAGCACCACATGATGAGGGTGGCAGCACTTCAATATTACAAAAGGAAGAAAAAAAATTCAAAACAACAAGAAACGTGTGTAAAAAAAAATAAAAAATAAAGACAATCACTAGATTATAAATTTGTCAGGAACAGCATTCTATGGTATTTGGGCATGTTTTTTTTTTTTTTATCTCTTCGAATTAAATTCTTAGCTCCATGGTTACAGTCCAAGCAAAGCCAGTTCAATTACTGGACAAAAATTAGTCTTTTAAGATTTGCAAAACCAGTAGACTACCATTAGATGGCATCAAGTTTGTTTTTTAAAGTTATGCTGTGGTATCAAGTGCTTCAAGTTGGTGCAGCGATGTCGGAAGCTTTGATTTTATGACACTCCTTGTGTGGCCTTCTGCACACGTCGGTACCAGTTCTTCACCTTGGTATTTTCCATCATATCATCAAATGCCTGAAGGCCTTCCATAACCCTCAGAACACCAAACACGGCCTGTGTTGAAAACACAACGTATAAGAAGGTATTTTCCACCATACCACAGATAATTAAACATATGTTTATTAACATAAACACACAAAACAATATTAGGCAGCACAACTTTTTCAACTTTGGGTGCTAAATAATGGCTGCTGAAAATTCAGCTTAGTCATCAAAAGAATAAATTACATTTTAAATATATTAAAATTAAAAAAAATAAAACTATTTAAATTGTAATAACATTTCACAATATTACTGTTTTTACTAGGTATGGAATGATTAACCACGAGCCGGTCGAAAATCGATTAAAATACGTGACGATTCAAATCAGTTGAGATGCCAAACAACTCGAGAAACAATTGGAGTAGGAGTTTATATGAATGTATCTCTGAGGGGAACTGACTATCTTTAGAAAAGTTTACGTGGTATTTTCTTTTCATCTTGCCTCTGAACAATGCATGTTAAAGTAGTGTTCATAAGCGCAGCTCTGCTTTGTTTACAGTGGTAACCCAGGAAACACTGTATCATTGCTGTTCATAAGCGCCACCTGCTGTCAGAGAGTGCATCTGCATCTCAGTCAGAAAACTTTAGAACGGTAGTGTATTTATATATTTTGAATAAGATTTTAGACTGAGAGAGAAACACATACCAGATCTGCAAGGTTGGGTTGATCGTCTCCCATGAATTTCTTGTTTTTTCCAATGGCTGCCACCCAATCATTGACAGCCTTGTAGAGATCCTGTCTCACATCATCTTGCAGATGGTGTCTGTGTAGTATGAGGTTAACCTTTATTATCAAAACATTTTTGACAAATATCTTTTAGTATGTAAAATGCACTGCCCTCAAAAACCTACTTATTTTTCAATCTCTTTGAAATGATCCACATGGCAGCAGCTCCAAAATACTTCGCAAAGAATCCCTCAAATGTGCCAAATTTGCCTTCTCGTACTATGTAGTCAAAGGACGCAAGGGCTTCAGTCGGCGTACGGTAAACATTTGGGGAAATTAGGTGCACCAGCCACTCATCTGCCCATTTCCGCCATTTAATCTCCTCTCTGGCCAAAAAGTGTTATTAAAAAGCTCATACAATAATTAATACAATAATGTAAATTCAATTTTAAAAAGTTAATAAAGCAATCACTTTCAGACATAACTGATTTGCTTTACTTTCTGGTGTCTTTTCCAGGATATAGATGATCAGCATCTGTGTCTCGCACCATGACCCAGTATTTATTGCCAAACTCTATCACATCTTTTCCACTGTCATTTTTTGCCTTCATCTCAGGATAACAAGCGAGAATCTCAGATATAGTTTTTTCCCTAAAAGAAGCAGTGAACAGACAATCAAAATTTGCATTTATATTTACATTTATTTGCCTAAAGCAAAGCAACTATTACAAAACTGAATACAGTGCTCAAAAGTTCACTCTCAATCAATCCCCCTCCAACTTTAGGAAAACATTCAATTGTCCATTTCCAATTAACACTGTAAATAAAACTTTCTGTTTATTGTCGGAAGAATAACCATATTTGGGGTCCATAAAAAATAAACAAACAAACAAACAAAAACTTTTCTAAATGAATATAATACACAAATATACCAATATGTTTATGCTACAAATAAAGTCATTAAAAGCGCTTAAAACAAATAAATTCTAACATGAACATCCACAGATTTGATACTCCAAGATACTCACTTGCTGACCAGGTATGTCTTCAAAACACTAACTATTACAGAAGAATCGTTGAGTTGCTGTTGAGATATAAACAAAGAGAGGAACTTGATGAGCTGAGGCATCATATATCAGGAAGAGGATATCGATCATAATCAGAAAGACAGATAAATAGCTACATACCACTGTCTCATTCACCATCAGGATGGGAACTTTTCTATAAGTGGACCACTTGATCTCCTGTCGCATAACGGGATTGACCTCCACAACTTCATATGGCAGACCATGATAATCCAGGAAGGCTCGCACCTTGCTGCAAAACGGACAGGTTTTATACTGATACAGAGTCAACTTCAGATCTGTCCCCAGCTCAGGAGCCTAATAAAAACAAGTTAATAAAACCATAGTGAGCAAACAAACCCAAAAAATAAGGGCACATTTCAACACTGCCAAAGCTGGATACTTACATTTGATTTTTCCTCTGCAAGGTGACGCTGTGGCGTGAGTTTGACGGTCTGGTACAAGCCGAAACCACCACCGAGCAGGAAAGCGCATCCCAGGACTCTCCCACTGCCACGCACCGGCGCAGCGAGCGAAAGTCTGGATCTAAATCCTGCTCCGCCGGTACCGTAAGCTCTTCCTTGGCATCTCATGGAGATTCTCGGCATTAATGTTGCGGTGTTTGTTACCCGGCATGTCGGCGTGTCTAAAACTAACCGGCCGACCTTACTAAGCGTTCTCGCACAGGCCGCCGCCATCATGATTTTACACAAACTCCCACAAGTCTACGGCAAGCGCAATGGCGAATGCTACAAGAGAATACAAGATAAAGTTTACTTCCTCTAGGGGGCGCGAGAGGACCAAACACCGAATGCCCCATTAATCCGCATTAAAATCTTTTCTTTTGGTATTAAAATAATTTATTTGTAATTAGAGATATTTCTTCACAAAATTGACTTCATATAATAGTTTTTATATATGAATTTATTTGAAATACAAATAAAAAATATGCTTCAATAATCTCTACCAATAAATTAAGGAGATAAAAGAAATATTCGATTATCATCGTACTCGAGGCAACATCTGGACATCTTATCCCCACTTACTTTAATTAAATTTCAATTGTCGTACAAATTGAACATTAACATCTTCATCTGTTTTTGAATTTACCCGGAGTAGCCTATTGTGATGTTCTAGAGTTACAAGTACAAGTATTTAAAATATACAGTCTTTATGTTGTTTCTACATCAATTTGGAATTGAACTGTGACATTATTACATTATAAAATATATTGAAAACTTAAAACGTGTTTTTAATCACAATCTAGTTGTTTTTAATCGACAGCACTATGTGTGTTTTATATGTGTTAGACAGAACGTGTGATTATTAGCCTATATATCTCTGAAAAAGAAAAGCTCCTTTCATTGTCAGTTTGTATAGTGGATTTATTAGCTTGTGATTAGTTAACTTGTAAGAAGCAATTTTATGAAGTTAGAACAGAGAACTTAGCAGAAGTCATTTCTTTACAGTAAACTATGCTTAGATTCAGACCCAGGGAGACGGATAGGGGACTCCAGCCACAATCACTGTTTGAGAGTGCAGCCAGTGAAGTTACACAGGGAAAGTCAGTGAGGGCAGCAGCAAAGTCACATGGCGTTTGTCATGTGACTTTATATCGCTTCATTAAGAAGGCGAGGGTGACAGGTGCGCTCCAAACGGGATATATCGCCCTCCGAAGGGCACTTCGGAGTGAAAACAATCATGGCCGCCATATTGAAGGGTCATTCCAAATCGAAGTGCTCAAAACTGGCCACTTCAAAGGGCCCTTCGGAATGAAGGATTTCGAAGGGTACAACTGATGGACACTTCGGGCTCCCATGATCCTTTGCGCAGATTCTTTGCATGATGACGGCACCTCCATGTGGGCACGTGATGATGACGCAGAAGGGCACTTCAAGGAACAGTTGTTTGGTCCCCTACACCCTTCAACCCTTCGGAGCTCTCACTCCGGAGGGTAAACCCTTAGAAGGGATTAGAGCGTAGGGATGAGCCCTTTCGAATGGTACGCAGGGAGTGAGTGAAGGCACATCTAGGACAGGATACCGGCCAGCCAGTAAAGTGTTCACGGCAGAGCAGGAGACCATATTGTCGGAGTACCTCCTCAGGGCTGCTGACTTATATTATGGTTTAAGTCCCAAAGAGGTAATATAATACATTGCTGAATTTGTTATGTTTCATGATTATTTGTGTAGAATGAACAGTTTTTTTTTAGCTTATGTTGACATACTGTAGCCTATATATGTTTACAATTTTTAATTCACACAAATGCTTTAATACAGGTTCGCAAATATGCCAATGAACTGGCAAAGGCTCACAACTGCAAGCACCCCAAGTCATGGGATGAGCGTGGAATGGTTGGGGCTGACTGTTAGATGGTTTCCTGAAAAGGCACCAAAGCCTTTCCCTGAGACAGCCACAAGCCACAAGCTTAGCTAGGGCAACAAGTTTTAATAAAACCAATGTGTCCAAGTTTTTCAACAATCTGGCAGAGGTATTTCAAAAACATCATTTCACTGCCAAGGACATCTGGAATATGGATGAGACAGGGGTCACCACTGTCCAGAAACCGGAGAAGATTCTTGCCAGAAGAGGCCAAAAGCAAGTGGGGGCAGTAACATCTGGAGAGCGTGGAACACTTGTCACTGTGGCATGTGCAGTAAATGCACTGGGGAATGCAATCCCTCCACACTTTGTGTTCCCCAGGGGAAACTTCCACCCTCATTTCATCAGGGATGGACCCACTGGCTGTATAGGAACAGCAAACAAATCAGGATTTGTTCTTGCGCCACTTCCAAACCCATACAAGAGCCTCTCCAACACAGAAGGTCTTGCTGATCCTCGACAATCATCACTACCACATGTTTTTGCGAGGTATACTTTTGTCGGGAATCTGGCATTATTCTCCTCTCCAACCCCCTGCACTGTTCCCACAAGTTGCAGTCACTGGACCGCAGTGTGTTTGGCCCTTTCAAGAAGATGGTTTACACCTTCTCTGACAGCTGGATGAGGCATCATCCTGGAACAACCATGTCCATTTACTACATACCAGCAATTGTAAGGGATTCTTTCCCAATGGCTGCCACACCATCAAATATCCAGGCTGGCTTCATGTGCACAGGCACGATGCTGATTTTGCACCATCCTGCGTCACTGACCGTCCACACAATCCTGAGACATCAGTCACTGGTCCAGCTTCCACTGCGTCCATCGCCTCCACTGTGTCTGCAGCTGGACAGTTCTCCATCTCCTCCGTGCCTGCCACTGCACCACCTTCCTTCTCCTCCACCGTGTCTGCGGCTGGACAGTTCTCCATCTCCTCCGTGCCTGCCACTGCACCATCTTCCATCATCTCCTCCGTGCCTGCCACTGCATCACCTTCCTTCTCCTCCACCCTGTCTGGGGATGGGCAGTTCTCCATCTCCTCCGTGCTTGCCACTGCACCACCTTCCTTCTCCTCCACCGTGTCTGGGGATGGGAAGTTCTCCATCTCCTCCGTGCCTGCCACTGCACCATCTTCCATCATCTCCTCCGTGCCTGCCACTGCATCACCTTCCTTCTCCTCCACCCTCATCTCCTCCGTGCCTGCCACTGCACCACCTTCCTTCTCCTCCACCGTGTCTGGGGATGGGCAGTTCTCCATCTCCTCCGTGCCTGCCACTGCACCACCTTCCTTCTCCTCCACTGTGTCTGGGGATGGGCAGTTCTCCATCTCTTCCGTGCCTGCCACTGCACCACATTCCTTCACCTCCACCGTGTCTGAGGATGGACAGTTCTCCATCTCCTCCGTGCCTGCCACTGCACCACCTTCCTTCTCCTCCACCGTGTCTGGGGATGGGCAGTTCTCCATCTCCTCCGTGTCTGCTACTGCACCACATTTCTTCTCCTCCACCGTGTCTGGGGATGGGCATTTCTCCATCTCCTCCGTGCCTGCCACTGCACCACCTTCCATCATCTCCTCCGTGCCTGCCAATGCACCACCTTCCTTCTCCTCCACTGCCTGCCACTGCACCACCTTCCTTCTCCTCCACCGTGTCTGGGGATGGGCAGTTCTCCATCTCCTCCGTGTCTGCTACTGCACCACATTTCTTCTCCTCCACCGTGTCTGGGGATGGGCATTTCTCCATCTCCTCCGTGCCTGCCACTGCACCACCTTCCATCATCTCCTCCGTGCCTGCCACTGCATCACCTTCCTTCGCCTCCACCGTGCGTGCCACTGCATCCATCTCTGGGACACCCTACATCGCCTTAAATGTACCTACAATTGGGCCTTTCTCCACCACTTCCACTGTGCATGTCCCTGGACCAAGTTCCTTTGCCTCCACCATGCCTGCTGCTGGAACATCTTCCTTGATCATTGAGGATTTTTTGCCTATCTTGGTGAGGCCATTCCCAAAAGCAGGGCCCCGAAAGACAACTAAGACCAGAAAAAGGAGAACGACTGAAATTCTTACAGACACACCTGTCAGGAATTCCTTTGAGGAAGAGCAGGAGAAGGCACCCGTCTCCAAAGTAAAAAGAAAGATCTTTGCAACAAAGGAGAAAATGGTAAAGAAAGGAAAGAAGTACACAAAAGAAAATGAGGATAAGACTGTGGAGGAAGAATGTAATTCACCAGAGAAGCAGAACAAAACATCTTCCTCTAAAGTAAAGCAAAAGGTCTCTGCAGAAAAGGAAAAAAGAGGAAAAGAAAGAAAATGTTGAGGAAAGTGAGGAAAAGGAAGAATTCTGCATTGTCTGCCTGGAGAGCTATTCAAAATCGAAGGAGGTCTGGCTGTCTTGTGTGTCTTGCCATTCCTGGGCACACTTGGCCTGCACTGATGGCAGTGGCATACATGTGCCACAACTGTGAATCAGACTAGAGTTTAACATGCAGCTTAATTAAGTATGGCAAATCATTATGTCATTGTTTCCGGAAATTATTTGTGTTACACATTAAACAGTGTAGCTTTTAAATCTTTATAAAAATACAACGAATGTTATATCCACATGATCACATTGTTATTGTTAATGTCAGTATTTTGTACCATTTCATTAAAGTTTGGTTAAAGACTGTTCTTGACTCATCAGCTGATAAATATTTGAATAAAATATATATTTAAATAATTTAAATCTAGTTCCCACTAGAATAGCTGCCTTGTCTTCTGCAAAAATTGAAATAGACTTTTGCTTTTTGAATGCATATGATGCCAGACATCTAAAAGAAGTTGAATCATATACAAAAAAAAAATCTTAGTTAATGTTATTAAATACTACAGCAGTAAAGTGATTACTTTGAGGTAGTCTTTCATTTGAGATACATTGGGTTAATTTGACTTATATTTCAGTGTTACAATTGCCCCCAAACACTGTTACAATCTCCCCCACCAAGGGGGCAATTGTAACACTCTGACTTCTTGCATTTAGTTTAATATTATAGTCTTGTCCTTATTAGTGAAAATATATAAATTGTTTTATTAATTAGTGCACCTATATTTCTTTCTTGTATAAAAAGATGACTAGTGTATTTCAAGTAGTCTGTGATTTATGAAGGAAAATGTAAAAAATGTTACAATTTCCCCCGGTCTCCCCTAACTTACTTATTCATTAATTATTAATTAATACATTTTCTAGAATACCTGCAATGCAGGATAAATTATGTGTTATTATTGGGGACAATATTTATAAAACAAAACAAGGATATGTTTAAAGGCTTGGGCCAGGAGGTCTCTTATCTGTTAGCATTCC